TTGTACCTGATACCAATCAATACAGCCATTTCTTCAGACTCCAAAAATACCTAATTAAAGCAAAATATTGTCAATGGTGGAATTCTGAAATAAAACAAAATGGAAAGATTCCGGTATGGCAACATCAGTGCAGAGAAGCAGTTCACATTCGAGTTGAAACACTTGAACTAAAGAGTAGATTTGAGTTATATGATGTTAGGAGGGGATGAATAAAAAGAGAACCTGTAGAATAGGATTGAGGGTATGAGAGATTAAATGCAAAGATATCATGAACAAAAAGACAAACCATTGAATTGAGTGGCATACAGCAGGCAACAGATATTTTGATAATTTAGTTTGAATTTAAGGTTTTGGAGTAGATTTGTAGCTCGGGTTGTGGGTGTTGAGGTTGGTTGGCTCGCCGAGCTGGTTTGTTGTTCCGCAGACGTTTCATTACCGTGCTTGGTAACATCCTCAGTGCAGCCTCTGATGAAGCGTCGGTGTGTTTTCCCGCCTGGCTTTTAAACTGTGGGGTCCATTGCGATTGATTGCCTTACTTCCGGGTTTCCTCCATAGTGGAATGTATATGGGGTTGAGTTCAATGTGTTTATTAATAGCCTGCTTCGTGGAATGCCATGCTTCCAGGAATTCTCGTGCTTGTCTCTGCCTAGCCTGTCCCAGGATCTTGGTGTTGTCCCAGTCGAAATCGTGGTTCTCCTTGTCCATGTGGATTGAGATGAGTGAGTATTGGTCGTGTCTTTTTGTAGCCAGTTGGTGTTCATGTACTCTTGTTAGTTTCCTTCCTGTTTGTCCCCCTTCGTCATCATTAAACGGACCAAATTAGAAGAGACACACAAACTCATAAACAACACCCTCACCGGAATAAAATTCACCAGAGAGGAGCAGAAGAACAAACAACTCCCATTCCTGGACGTCATGGTAGAGCGCAAGACAAATGGGGAACTGCAAACAAAAGTACATTGAAAAGCCACACACACAGACCAGGTATTGAACTTCAATAGTAACCATTCCAGCACACACAAATGAAGCTGCGTGTGAACACTCTTTAATAGGGCAACAACACACTGCAGCAACATGGAACTATGCCAAGAGGAGGAGGAATACCTCTTCCAAGTGTTCAAGGATAATGGATATCCAAAAAACTGGGTCAGGAGATGCCTATAGGAACAGCATCAGAAAGATTCTACACGCCCCGACACACTCATCACGCTACCCTACATCAGGAACACGTCAGAACTCACCACAAGACTTCTATGACTGCTGGGCATCAGAGTGGCACACAAACCTACATCAACCCTACGACAAGTGCTCACCGGAACTAAAGACCCACTCCCCGCCATGGACAGGACCAGTGTCATCAACAAGATCCCCTGCAGAGACTGCGAGAAACACTACATTGGACAAACAGGAAGGAAACTAACGAGTACATGAACACCAACTGGCTACAAAAAGACACGACCAATACTCACTCATCTCAATCCACATGGACAAGGAGAACCACGACTTCAACTGGGACAACATCAAGATCCTGGGACAGGCTAGGCAGAGACAAGCACGAGAAATTGCTGGAAGCATGGCACTCCACGAAGCAGGCTATTAATAAACACATTGAACTCGACCCCATATACATTCCACTATGGAGGAAACCCGGAAGTGAGGCAATCCATCGCAACGGACCCCAGAGTTTAAAGGCAGGCGGGAAAACACACCGACGCTTCATCAGAGGCTGCACTGAGGATGTTACCAAGCACGGTAATGAAACGTCTGCGGAACAACAAACCAGCTCGGCTAGTTTTGAATTTATGACGCCAGGCCACTGTGACTGACTTCAACAGTCGTGACTATGATCCCCTGCTTCCTGCAGGTGCACTCCCTTTTTGCACCCTCCCACCATCCTTGTCGGTCCCACACACCTCTTTTTCTCATCTTATTCCCCTTTTTTCTCTGTCACCAAACCACCACCCCCCCACCCGACTCATTGTTTTGTTCAGCTCTCTGTCCATTTAACTCCATGAGAAAAATCATGGGGCTATTCCATGCCTTCCAAAATTTTCCAGCAGCAACAATGCCACTACTCCATCAGCAAATGATCTCCATTTATTTTCAGAGATTTTAATGCCATTTTGTAAAAGACTGTTTGTTTTTAAACCAAATTTATTCTGAACAGGAATTTCCAGTTCGTTACAGAAAGCTGTGCAAGGGCCTAGTTCTGCTGACCCTTTATCTCCCCTTCCCAGCCCTCTCTCTTCCATCCGACAGTTGGGCCTTGCAAACTCTGGCTCTGCTCTCATTCCAATCCAGTGGAGACAACACCAAAGAGGTACAGGAGGAAGGAACTACAAAGGCTACACGTGAAATCATCAGCTACTGGGAGTTTGACCTCTGCATCATTCCCTTGCAAACAGAGTAGTGGCGGATCCAAAAGAGCTGAGTTAGGCAGAAGTCGACATGAAAAATTAAAGAGCTGAGTTTGGTTTTCTGAAAATTTGGAACTCTGCCACATGATAGAAAGCTTCCATTCTGATTAGCAGGCCAAGGGCAGAAAAGTCAAGGTTGGGAGCAAGTTAGGGAAGTAAAATAATGAGCCGTAGAAAGCATATGATCATAGTTGTGAACTGAATAGAAGTGTTCAGCAAAACAGTCACCTAGTCTTTGTTAGTCTCTTCAATGCAGAGGAGACTTTTTTTTTCAAATGCCTTCTGGAAGTTCATGTGTGGCATTCCACATTACTCAAGTCACCTCTTCAGCCAGTTCTATCAAATGTGAGCCAACCTTTTAAAAATCTCTTCCGGCTTTATCAGCGAAGAATTTTCAGTGTTCAGTTACTGAATCCTTATTAAGGCCTCTAGTAATTTTACAACAATAGATGTTAGGCTAACTGGTCTGTAATTCACTGGTCTTCGTCACCTTTCTTAAATTGTGGAATTATCAATTTACCAGTCAAAAGGACCAGTTCCCAACTCAGAACTACCGATGCCCTGTAAATTTGCAGCATTATCGTTTATTTCCTTTAAAACATTGGGATGGAAACCATTTGAGCCCATGAGATAATTGCATGATATTTCCTTACCTTGTTCATTGCCTCTTCGATTTGCTTACATTAATTTTATTAAGACCCTGATTTAATTAATCTTCTCAGCTATTTAGCATGACACTGCTTCCTCTTTTATGCAAAACAATTATTTAGCAAGTTTAATTTTTTTATTTACCTGTCTCAGTTATCAGTTTTTACTTGACTCACATTGTTTCTAGTCACACTTTTGTATTGTTATTTTCCAAAAATTGTTTAAATTTCTTTTTGATTTTCAAATTCCTTTAGGTGTTGGAGCAGTGTTAGGGCCTGAATACTCCTGTAGGTTATACTGCCATTTCCAATGCAATCCACCATAACATCAGCCAGGTTAGAGCAAAAAATCAAATTTTTTAAAGTGTAGTTTTAAATATAAGCTTCCGTAATCTTTTATATTGGTTTGAAAATTTTGTGTAGGAATATAGCCCAGCCTGCAAAGCAATCACACCCCCAGTCTGAGTTAATCATCAGTTTCTGCCAGTAGATTCTGTAAGAGCAACATTAATGGACAACATTTTAAATGTTTTAAGAATATCTGATTATGCTAATTATTACAAACGGAATCATATTGAGGAAATAAATACAAACTTGGGAGAAAGAAAGACTTAAAAATGCAATTTTGAGCATATTTTTTGGCTGGATTGCTGATTCTATCTCAAAGTGTAATTCTACCTAAACAACTATTATTCAGAAGAGAAAGATCAGAAGTCATACTTGACCTGACAAAGGAGCAGCACTTTGAAAGCTTGTGATTTCAAATAAACCTGTTGGACTATAACCTGGTGTCATGTGATTTTTGACCTTGTCCACCCCAGTCCAACACTAGCACCTCCACGTCAAAAGAGAAATATTTAGACATGATGATTCAAACCTTCAAGACAGCTGTAAACTTGGTTCTGTTTCTGATTAGAAATTAGGAATATCAAAAAGTAAAGGATAAAGTGGTCACCACATGTACAAGTTGTTATTGTTTTGCCATGTTAAAGGCATGATTAGATGACTGTAAAAATGAAAGATGTACAAATTTTGTTCTGCTTAACACTAGGTAAGTTCAGCTATCTAACAGAAACTGCAAATATCCAATTGGGATGCAGCTGGTGTTTAATACAGCAGATGATTGCTCCTCAACTTAAATTTTAATGTTTCACCAAACTGTTGATGGTACTTCACAGTTGTATTGGCATTCAGTTTCACCTGGCAATATAAAGAATGTAAAGACACAAGCAGAGATTTGATCATATAGAGGATTTAGCAAACATCCAGTCCAAACGTTGAGCACAGTATCAGCTTATTGACAACTTCCTAAGCTACTACCTTATTTTACTTTTCCATTGAATTTCTAATGTAATTGGAAATCATGAATAAAAGCAAAGTTAAAATGGCAATTCTGTCAAGCTACATCTTCTGTAGATCAAACAATAACTTTGGCATTGTTAACCAAACAGGAGGCTGCATATGATGGGAAAGTAGTTGTTACTGAACTAGTGATTGAAGTTGCAGTGTGCAGACAGGAAAGAAGCTGATACCATTCCCAGATCAGCTATGATCTTATTGAATGATGGAGCAGGCTCAAAGGGCCAATTGGCCTCCTCCAACTCCTAAATCCTATATTCCAATGGCAGATTGCCATTTTGAATTGTTAAAATAATTTTTTTTGTGTTTAAATAGAAGCATTAACAAAGCTATTAGGTTGTGGTAAAAGCACAAGTGGTTCACCAACTCCCTTCAAGAAAGGGAAATCTTTTAGGGAATTTTCACTCAGTTTGGCCTTTACACTAGTGCTTGGAGATGTAGTTTATTCTTAACTGCACTTTGTAACAAGCCATTCAGTTTTATAGACATGCAATAAAGAATATCGCCACTTCAGAACAATTACAGAGGTAAAATAAATGTCTGACCTAATGATGTTGATGTCCTGGAAACAAATTTTAAATGATGGTGGCTGCAATTTTCCACCCATTGATTTAATAAAAAAAGGCAAATAACGTGCTCACTTTCATCATCAATACAGACATAGAAAACACGTTTGTGTGTACTACATGTACAATCAAATTTTGTACAGTTAACAAAGTTGCCAATATCTGCTATACATGATGCATATCAGCTTTAGAAATGTAAGTATTTGCATATTGTGCAATATCATTAATGTTCATAATGCACAATCAGATGAACCTTCACATAGTGTGCACACAGAAACAAGTCTCCGTAAATCTTTAAGTAAAAATGACAACGGTTCACAAATTTTTGGCATACATATCAAAATTAAGTATTTGGCAGTGTAAAATGCATAAAACAATAAATTTCTTGCAAGGCTAGCCAGGTTTACATCAATGAATATTATAAAGTAAATGTATCATACACAGAAATAACTGTCTAGTTATTAAACAAACTAATTTGCGCAGCATTGTCATAATTCTCAGTCATCTTCTTCATCATCTTCGTCATCATCCTCTTCTTCCTCCTCTTCCTCCTCCTCTTCATCATCATCATCTTTCATCTTTTTTTTGCATAATGTACTGTGGTGCTATACCAAAAATAAAATGAAGAATGAGGTTAAATGTTACTGATTGCATCACAATTCCACATGGCTAACATTTTTTCTGAAGAAGGGTCTGGACCCAAAACGTCAGCTTTCCTGCTCCTCTGATGCTGCTTGGCCTGCTGTGTTCATCCAGCTCTACACCTTGTTATCTCAGATTCTCCAGCATCAGCAGTTCCTACTATCTCTGGCTAACATTATGTAGGTATGAGTTTATAATTTCTGCAGGAAGGAGGCCGGTATTACTAATTTCCCAATACCAATCTAACAAGTAAAAACTTGAACAGAACCAAATACAATATTTTAGGAAGTGTGACAAGTAAGAACATTACATTGGTAAACAGCGAATAGAGTTATACAACAATTTTCTGGATGTACTCAACAATCAGAGACTTGTGAAGTGAACAAGACCTACACGTTTCAGTAAACGTCTAAGAACATTTTCTAATCTGCACAAAGCCAAAATATGTAATTAAAATGAAGAGAACTCCTTTATAGGTAGAGAATATTAGTTTTCTCGTTCTAAGCAATACTTGCTAAACACCTAACTCAAATGTGCATTGACGAAATGAGAGTTTTGCTGGAGAAGGTTTAGAAGCTGTCCAACTGAAAGATCCAAGCTTACTGTTGGGTTCTGATGTGTAATTCGACTAGGACTTACAAGACAACAATTCCCAATTCCTATCCAACTGAGACAATGTAATATTACCACTGCTTCAGATGGCTGTATTTTAGCATTACATTGTGCTGAATCTGGATTTTTTCTATTTTTATGACTCACTTAGTTGCTCATCAGACAATTTTATTGAGAAAGCAATTGAGCCCAATTTCTTCTTTAAAGGGTTAGGAATATTTTATATGCAAAACACATCCTCCTAACTTTGCAAATGGCACCACGAGATTCTTAAAAACTATGTACAAGCATTTAAAAGGCATGAATCTGATGAAATTCTTATATGATGATGTCATAATATTACTTTTGTTTGTGATTTGGTTTCTAAAGTGGAAGAACAGCTTTAAATTGAAATTACATTACTATTCTGTGTTAAAATAGGGAAGATGTGATTTTTAGTTTTATTTTAGATTTTTATTGAAGAGTTGTTAAGGGATGTCTAGAGATTTGGATTAGATCTTTAAATCCTAGAAGTGAACAGTTCAGTGCATTGGGAAAAGGGTAGAAGAGAGGAAACAAAAACCTGTTGCCTAGTAGCAAGCATCCAGAAACAAACTCAGAACAATCTGGAAGAAGTCAAGAAATGTGTAGGTTCATTCAGAGAGAAGAGGTCCCTAACACACAGATACTGCTTTTAATAGTCTCCAAGCAGACTTGACTGTAAAGAAGTCCTCAATGGCCGAGTCATTAAAAGAAAAGCTACATAAACATGACTGTTGAAGTCTCAGAGGAAGACATCTTAAAAGACAGTAAGTAAACTGAATTGGCAGCTTTTCTTAAGATTTTCAGGAAGAGACGCTAACGAAGGAGAACAGTTCACTGAGTGTAGGTAGAAGTTTGCTGAAGAGGAAACAAATTGCAGCTATGCCACCTGAGCAAAGTGCTTTAGCTTGGAGATATGGGTGCCCCTTCACTGTGGTTTGAGCATCTCAGGTTGTTGTTAGAAAGATACACCCTTCTACATTTGTAAGAAAGTCTTAAATAGATCTTGTATCATGCAACATAGTTTGTGTTTATTAAAGATTTATGTTATTGTTAAAAGGACTTTCTTGTGAATATGTTAGTGATTGACCTCCATTACAAATAAAAATAAATCTATGGTCTACCTCTATTAGCTAGAATCATAACATTATTTGGCATTAGTGATTCCTTCATGATAACTCAATGATTCAAATGTACCATTCTACTCTTACAGCAGTGTCTTTGACAAGATAGATGCTGAGGAACTTTTGTATTCTCAAATCAGAAAGGTAATAACTTATTAATAGCTTGTTTGGTTGAACATCTATTTCACAGAGGGGTGACAGGTATATGTCTACCTTTTGAACCTATTTCATAAGCTTTACAACAAATTTCATATCTTTAAGAGGGTTTTGGAGTTTCAAAATAATTTTATTATACTTGAGGATGGAGGACAAGGGAGAGCAGCAAACTAGATGGAAGGCCAGAGCCAAACTGAATCTTCCAAGGCTCAATTTGTACTTCAGCTTCAATGAGCAGCAATATTGTTGAAACCTTAACATCACAAAGGAGACTATCACCCATCTACTGCTACTGCTACAGCTATGACTGAAGCCTCAAAGCATAGCCCTTCACCTTTATGCAACAAGCTGCTGCAGGTCAACCTCTCAGTTTACTATCATCAAAAATCCTTACATTGGGAGATGCACCTGCATCCCAACAGAAACAGTAGAATGTGAGGGTGCATCACAAAAATATATCCATATTGCATGCTTCCTAGAGTTCAGGTATCACAGACTTCATCCACATTCACTGAAATTCTAGCATTTTTCAGAAAGTAATTTAATTTTCTCAGTACCTAGCTGTGTGATTTCACACACAACACTAGTCCTCTGCCTTTACATAAAACAAGTATTCAGGGACTGGCTACTGTACAACAATGGTTACCAACTTCTAACACCACTTTGAAACAGCTATAAAAGTAACATTAACCAAGTGTCCTGAAGAAATAGCGTATCTCTTCCAACCCTAATATACCAACAGTTAAACCATACAGATCACCACTATCCTTCCTAATGTTCCCTCAGTCTAGACTCTCATGTACAGTTTTCAGTTTAGTTTCTTTTGTGTCATTGGTCTTCCTCCACAAATAGGAAACTTGGTTATCTTTATGAATTGTCTTGTAGAGGCGATACTTCCATGAATAATATGTCTAACATACTCTCATTCCCCTCAATACTCTTTTTCAATTAACTTCAACTCGTTACTTTTTAAATCTTTTTGTTGCTTTACATTGTATTCTGTTTCTACTGGATTTCTATTTCTTTCTTGCATCTGTGTAATTTTTTTTCATTTTGGTCCACGTATAATCCAATTTGTTAACCCTAGTGCTTTAAGTGCACATATGGAGCTTTGACCTTTTAGTGGCATGTACTGTTATTGCAGTTTTGTACTGTACCAAATAATGGGAACAAGGAAGGATTCCTCACGAGAAGGTAGGTCAAGAACACAAGCCACATTTTCAAGATTAGGAAAAAAACTGGTAAAGGAAATTAATGATTGGTTGCTCTTGGAGAAACTGGATGCGGACAACAAGGAAGTTATCAGGATGAAGCACAAGGAATGAGTGGAGAGTCTGAAAGCAAATGAATTAAGAGATTGCAGTTTAAAAACATAGAAACAGGCCATTTGGCTTAACTTCACAATGTCAGTTGTAGCCCACAAGAAGCTGGCAACTGTCCATGTATTTATTCCAGCTCTACAGTAGTGCCTGTATCTGAGATGATGACTGCAAATGTCAGTTCAAGTTCTAGGATCTCTTCGTTAGTGCTGTGTTGTTGCTCTTCCTCTTCCACTAGTTGCTATTGCTTGAAATCATAAAAGGTGGATTCATGTGAGGAAGGAGAGAATGGTGTGGGTAGCAAGAGGTGCATGATCACACCATCAGCATGAGGTAAATAGGTATGTTGAGAAGCAGCATAATGTAGAAACATATATGGTTATTCTCATGTTCTCAGTGAGGTAGGATAACATCTTGTTCTTTTGCATCATTATCCCATGTCATAGAGTCATACAGCATGGAAACAGACCCTCTGTCCAACCAATCCAGGCCAAACATAATGTCAAACTAAACTAGTTCCAAATGTCTACCCCTAGCCCATATCCCTCCAAACCCTTCCTATTTATGTACTTATTGAAATGTTTTAATTATACCCACATCCACCACTTCCTCGGAAAGTTCATTTCACACGCTCTGTGTAAACAAAAACTGCCCCCATGTCTTTTTAAAATCTTTCTCCTCTCACCAGTCACCAAGATCACCTGCTCACATTCCAGTCTGAAGATGATTTCCCTTGAAAACTATCACGTCTCTCCTCCTGCCCAGCACCATCATTAATATCTTCAAGTGCTACACCTTGTTTAAAATTGCAATAGTATTTACCAACACTTCCCTTTAAGACACTCATACTGCCTTTAAAAGTACAAGGCTGATTGCACCATGTACCTTTACATAGCAATGATCCATACCCGGAGAACTCAGATGGCCAGCAACATGGCAGATACTTGGTCCTATGTTACATTCACAGGGATGAGGTGGCAGCATCAAATTTACATACCATCCACTTGTAATAGAACACAAAAATGTACCACAATTTTTAGCCGATTTTTCAACTTCACAATGACAAAGGAACCAAGATTTTTACATTGTTTAGAAGTCTGCTAAGTGAAGATGGCAGGAAAGGAATGTAAACTGCAGACATAAATTCCTTGCAGCCAGTATCCTCAGCATTTAGTTTTTTTTTCCTGAAGAAGGGTCTAGGCCCGAAACGTCAGCTTTCCTGCTCCTCTGATACTGCTTGGCCTGCTGTGTTCATCCAACTCTACACCTTGTTATCTCAGATCCTCCAGCATCTGCAGTTCCTACTATATCTTAAAAAGTACTTGGTCGAGCACCTGGAATGTTACAACATTCAAGGTTATCAGCCTAGTGCTGAAAAGTGGGACTAGTCAGCGTAGTGTCTGGTAGAACAAACATGTTGGGTTGAAGGACTTCTTTTGTATTCTTTGATTCTATGACTGTTCCCTCTGCAACACCCTGTCCATTATTTTGTCACTCCTAACACATTGACACCCCCCATGCAATCAGAGTAGCTGTAACAACTCGCCCTTTCACCTTCTCGCTCCTACTGTCAGAGATCCCAATTACATCTTCTAGGTGAAGCAGTGGTTTATTTGTACTTATTTAAGTATGGTCTTCTGTATTTGCTGTTCACAGTGCAGTCTCCTCTATATTAGGAGAATAATTACAGCCAGGCGGACCACTTTCGGAACATCTGCTCTACTGGAAAAATAAACCAACGTTCTGCTTGCTTGCTATTTTAATACACCATATTGCTCTCATGCTAACATGTATGCCCCCTGCTTGCTGCAGTGTTCAAGTCAATGAAGAAGGGTCTAGGCCCAAAACGTCAGCCTTCCTGCTCCTCTGATGCTGCTTGGCCTGCAGTGTTCATCCAGCTCTACACCTTGTTATCTCAGATGAACTGCGTGTCCATTTAGGCACTTTACAGCTTCCAGGACTCAGCATAGAGCTCAACAACTTCACAACATGACACACTATTCTCTATTTTGTTTACATTCCCCAAGTGTCTTGTTTGCTCTCAGAAAACCTTACCTGTTTTCCATACATATCATAAACACCTATTTTGTATCTGTATCCCTCCTCTACTACCACTATAACATCCTTTGTCTTCTACTCTGTGGGTATCCTCACCATCTGTTCAACTCATTTATCCTCCCCACTTTGTTAACAGCATACAAACTGTCAATTTCCAGCTTCCTTCAGTTCTGAAGAGGTCACATCAGACTTCAAAAACTTTCTTTGTTTCTTTCTCCGCAAATGCTGCCAAACCTGTTGGGTTTCTCTAGCACCTTCTGTTGTTATTCCAGATTTCCAGCACTTGCAGTACTTTGCTTTCATCTGGATTTTAGACTTTTTGGTGTTAGATTACATTTGATTACTTTGGCCATTTTGGGGTTTTTTTTAACAACATATGTATATTGCTAATCCAACAAAATCCAGAATCCATCTTGTAATATTAAACCTTATGAATGAAAGAAACCATTTTCGTGCTGCCACACGAAATAGCACAGTAACTAAATTTCAGAATACTAAACACCCATAAAATAGTTACCAGATAGCAATTATCAACAATATCTCAATTATGTTATAACTTAAGAATAAATAATTAACAACCAGCAGTTGATAAAGGATATGTGTTCTATTAATTATATTAAGTGTCTATTTTAAAAGTGTTGTTGGAAGCCAAGTGTGGGAAGGAAAGAAACAAGACACCACGAGAGCCTTATCAATAAGATGACCTTTGGGTCTTAAACCAGAGATTTAACTCATTTGTCATTGTAATATGAGCCGAACATTTTCAAATGCTCCACTGTCTTCATATGTAAGATAATGCATGTACATGACAAAAGACAACACCTTCCGGTCATGAACCATTTTAACTCGCACTCGCTGGGTGACCTGTCCATCTTGGGCTTCCTCCAGTGCCACAGTGATGCCACCCGCAAAATGGAGGAGCAGCACCTCATATTCTGCCTTGGAAGCCTACAGCCCGATGGCCTAAACATGGAATTCACCAGTTTTAATATCTCCCCACCCGGCGTCATCCCATGTCCAACCCTCCCTTTCATCCCCGCCTCCATGACCTGACACAATTTGTCCATCTTCTCTCCCATCTACCCGGCCCTTCCACCTCACTGACCAATCCCCACCATTTCCTACCTGCACTCACCCATCACCATCCGACCTACCTTCCCCAGCCCCACTCCTCCTCTCTCTATTTCTGAGCTCCCTTAGCCCTCCCGCATTTCTGAAGAAGGGTCCCGAACCGAAACTTCAACTTTCCTATTCCTCTGATGCTGCCTGGCCTGCTGTGTTCCTCCAGCTCCACGCTGTGTTATCTCTGACTCCAGCATCTACAGTTCTTGCTATCTCATTAGATTCACTAGATTGTTTGAAAAGGTTATTCCATTGTTCTTAATGAGGTGGAAAAGCAAACTGAACCAATCTACATTATCTGAACAATCCTTTCAATTCTTTAAAATCTATTGGTTTTTCTTTACCCAACCTGATTATTAGAGTTCTTTGAGGATCTAACAAGATATCAAACCAAGGTAACTGGAGAATGTTGATATTAATCCCTTTCCATTTCACATGCAAAGCAAGCACTCAACCATCTGAGCTAATTCCCCAGGCTCTTACCTTAGAAGATCCTGACATACGTAGAGCTGAATTTAGTCCATTCATGGTATTTATAGAGTTTGCAGATACTATGCTTAGACGAGGCTGGCTGTCTTGTAAATGAAGTGTGTTCCTGAAAATCTATAAAGCAAATAAACTCATCGACTAACAGCCTTTTGAAAAATATATATATAGGTAACACTGGTACATCGTTAAAGTCACATTCCAATGTTTACAAAAAAGCTAGTGATTATGAACATACTTCACACAAACAATATAATGTCAGTGCAACATTCACAGTGGAAACTTATTAGTTAATGGATTTATCCCTCAAATATATTAAAATTGAATACGATAGATGATACCTCTACGCAGGGAGGATATAATTGGCACTTCTGACCAAATTGAAAACATTATATACCAGAAGCAGTGTGAAAATACTGAATAAATGATGATGGTAAACACATATGAGAAATATGAGGTTTTTCCATGAAGAATATTTTGTTAGAAAAAACTGAATATTCATGTAAAAAAATCTGTAAATAGAGTATGATGACTTTTGACCTGGAAGCAAAATAAGAAGAAAAATGTATATATTTTTTAAATGTCTAAGGAATTGGTTATTGTTTTTAAGAATGTTTTAAAGGAGTTTCAAATGTTCACATTAACAGTAATTAGATGAATAGAAATATTGGTCTACGTGACCGAGTGACTTTTGACATTGAAGCAGTACCGAAAAGAAGCAAATTACGATATAGACATCATGTGACTGGAGACAAAGAAGATGCACCAGTAAATGAAAGGAGCTTTGTGTGTAACACAACTTACAAGGACAAAAAAAGAAATAAAGATAGGGTTTCAGCAGAAATTGTGAACTGGACATTTATTGTCCATCTCTCACTTCCCTTGAACTGAGCTAGGCAATTTCAGAGGCCAGTAAGGAGTCAATCATATTCCTGTGAGGGTGGAATCACATGCAGGCCAGATCAGGGAAGTATGGTAAATTTCTGTCACTAAAGGGCAGCATTGAACCAGATGGGATTTTACAATTGATTAAAGTTTCAAGGTCACTGTTACTGAGACTAACTTTCATTAAATTCCAAACTTCATTCATTTAAATTTCACCAGTTGCTATGATGATATTTTACCATGTCTACAGGTATTAACCCGGAAATCTGGATCACTAGTCTAGTCATGTTAGCACAATGTACCATCTCCCCTTAAAAAGACTTAACTACATCAGCCAAGATTTCCTGGGATTTAGTGTCTTCACAACTATTCTGCATGATTGTGCCACTGGGTGACAAGGTGATGGTGTCATGTACCCGCTGCCTTTATCCTTCTCAATGATACTGGTTGTTGGTTTGGAAGGTGCTGTCTAAAGAGACCTGGGGAATTTGTCGATGGTAGACTCGATTGTCACTGAGTGTCAATTGTGGAGGAAGTGAATTTTTGTGGATGTGCTGCCAATCAAGCAGGCTACTTTGTCCTAGATAGTAACAAGCTTCTTGAGTATTACTGGAGCTGCACTCATCCAGGAGAATGGGCTATATTTCATTACATCCTGACTTGTACCTTGTACATGGTAGACGAGTTATTTGCTGCAAGATTCTTGTCACTGACCTTCTCTTGTAGCCACAGTATTTATATAGATATGCCAATTCAGGTTCTAGTAAATGGTAAACCTCAAGATGTTGACAGCGTGTTGATTCAGCGATGGCGTGCCATCGAATATCAAGAAGCTATGGGTTGAATTACTTTTGTTAGAGATGGTCATTGCTTGGCATTTTGTACAATGCATGTTACTTGGCGCTTGTCAGCCCAAGTCTACATTTGAACGCAGATTGCTTCAGAATCTGAGCAGTTGTGAATGTTGCTGAACATTATGTAATCATCAGTTAACAGCAGGAAGGTTATTGATAAACAGAAAATGATTGGATAAGAGACTCTACCCTGAGGAATCCCTGCAGAGATGTTCTGGAGCTGAGATGATCAACCTCTAACAACCACAATCATTTTTTTGTGCTAAGGATGACTCCCAACCAGAAGAATTTTCTCCCATATTCCCATTGAGTTGTGATTAGGAGCTGTGTAGCTCTGGCAGCACCAAACTGAGCGGCTCTGCAAGCACCAGACTAAGCATCAATGAAGCAAGTACTGCTTGACAGCACAGGTGACACCTTCCATAACTTTGCCAATGATCGAGAGTAGACTGATGAGGCTGTATGAGGCCAGCTTGTGCAGATTAGGCTTGTACTCATTAGAGTTTAGAGGAATGAGAAGAGACCTCATTGAAACATAAGATTCTTAGGAGGGCTCTACAGGGTAGATGCAGACATGCTTTTCCTCGTGGTTGGGGAAGTCTTGGATGACAGGACATTAAGAGAGAGATGAAGAGGAACTTCTTTTCTTTCAGAGGTGTGATGAATCTATGAAATTGTTTACCACAGAAGGGTGTCAAGACTGGGTTGTTAAGTATATTTAAGGCTAAGGATAGACAGATTTAAAATCATTAAGGAAATCAAGGATTACGTGTATAAAGCAGAAAAGTAGGATTAAGGATTACCAGATCATCCATAATCTCATTGAACGGCAGAGCCAAATGGGTCAAGTGTCTTACTTTCTCTCTCATGTCTGATTGGAATTAAATAAAAAGTAGGGATGTTATGCTTCAACTATATGGGTCATTGGTGAGACCACATCTGGACATGTTGGAGGTTTTACTGTGCCTGGGTCCTGGGTTTGATTCTAGCCTTGAGTTACTGTCTGTGTGGAGTTTGCATGTTCTCCGTGTCTGCTTGTGTTTCTACTGGATGCCTTCTGGTTTCCTTCCATAGTCCAAAGATGTGCAGGTTAGGTGGATTGGCCATGGTAAAAACCACTTGTGGGGTGGTGGGTCTAGGTGGGATGCTCTTTGGATGGTTGGTACAGACTCAATGGGCCAAATGGCCTCTTTCTGCACTGTTAACATTCTATAATACATTAATTTTTAAGATGAGGGTAGCAAAAGAATGATAGCCATACTTGTAGACGACACCAAGGTGGGTCAGAAAGTAGGTTTTAAAGAAAGTGGCATAGAGGGATGACAGTATTCAAAAGAGATTCACCAAGCTGATTCCTGGAACAAAGTGGGCGACTTATCAAGCACAGATAATAGGTTAGACTTTGATTTGTTAGCATTTAGAAGAATGAAGGGTAATCTTATTGAAACATACAAGATTCAGAGGAGCATTGACAGGGTAGATTTTGAGAAGATTCACTGGTGGGGGTACCTTGAACTTGGCGATATTTGTTGTGATATTTGTTCAGACTAATATGTGGAATGGAGGAAAAGATCAACAGTTTAGGCTTGCATTTGAGTTTACAAGAGTAAAAGGTGACTTGATTAAAACATACAAGCTCCTGAGGAGGCATGAAACAGTGGATACGGAAAGAATGTTTCCTTTGTTGGGAGAATCTAGGACTAGGGGTTATTGCTTAAAACTAAGGGGTCACCTATTTAAGACAGAGTTAAGGAAAACATTCTTCTCTGAGAGTTTTAAGTCTTTGGAACTCACTTCCTCAAAAGGTGGCAGAAGTAGAATCTTTGGATATTTTACGGCAGAGGTAGAGAGATTCTTGATAAGCTAAGAAGTGATAGGTTATTGGGGTAGGCAGGCATGTGGGTTGAAGTTAAAATCAGCCTTGATCTTATTGAAAGACGCAGCAGGTTCAAAAGGCTAAATGGCCTACTCCTGTTCCTAATTCGTATGCACATATGTCACTTCAAGGACGAGGCTTTGGGGAATAATAATGGAAAACAAGGAAATGCCAGTGACTTTAAACTTGGAATTTCCATTTTTCTCAAAGTACAGGACACTAAAAAAGCATTCCAAGAGCAACAGAAATTGAGGAGGCAAACAAAGGCAAAGAACTTAAACCAATCACAATCACTGGAGTGAAAGTACATATGAATCAGGAGTAAGTGTAAGCACTTAGCCCCAAAATATTCCATTTGCCACATCTCCGCCAACCTACCAATATCTTTTTGTAACCTCCCTGTGTCCTTTTCTCAACTTTGCTACCTATCCTTGTGTCATCAGTAAATTTGACAACCATACCTCTGTACATTCATTTAAGTCATTTCTATAAATTGCAAATATGAGGTCCCAGCACCAATCCCTATGGCACACCAAACTTTATATTTTCCCAAACTGAAAAGACACTGCTTATACATTCTCACTTCCTATTAGCCAGCCAATCCTATATCCATGCCAGTATGCTATTGTGTACACCATGAAGTTTTATTTTCAGCAATAATCTTTGGTGTTGCACCTTACTAGATGCCTTCTGGAAATCTAAGTACAGCACATCTGTATGTTCCCTTTTCTCCCTAGCATGTGTTACCTTCTCAAAGACTCCAATAGATAGATCAAACATGATTTTAACAAAATTATGTTAACTCTGCCTGATTATTCTGAACTTATCCATGTGCCACCTTATTTCTTTAATAATCACTTCTAACGTTTTCTCTATTTTCCTATACTTTCCTGCTTTCTGTCTTCCCTTTTTGAATAAAGGAGTTACATTTGTAATCTTTTAATCTAATGGTACCATTCCCAAATCAAAGAAGTTTTGGAAAATTAAAACCAATGCATCCACTGTCGCACTAACCACTTAAGATCTTTGGATGAAGTCCATCAGGATACAGATATTTGTCAGCTTGCAGCTTCAACAACTTACTCACTTCCTGAAGTATTGGGACAACTCAAGTACTAAAAGCTGACATTTCTCCTGGGGCTTATGTCCTGCACTGAGAGTTCTTGAAAGAAGTAACTGCAGAAATAGAGGATGTATTTTATAAGTTTCCAATATTCCCTTGCTTCTGCATGTGGTTCATATGCAATAAGGCCTGAGATCTTACTGAAACATTAACTGGGTGGCACAGTGGTTAGCACTGCTGTCTTACAGTGCCCGGGTCCTGGATTTGATTCTAGCCTTGAGTTACTGTCTGTGTGGAGTTTGCACGTTCTCCGTGTCTGCTTGTGTTTCTACTGGATGCCTTCTGCTTTCCTCCCATAGTCCAAAGATGTGCAGGTTAGGTGGATTGACCATGGTAAAAACCACTTGTGGGGTGGTGGGTCCAGGTGGGATGCTCTTTGGAGGGTTGGTACAGACTCAATGGGCCAAATGGCCTCTCTCTGCACTGTTACATTAATATTTGAGATGAGGGTAGCAAAAGAATGATAGCCATACTTGTAGACGACACCAAGGTGGGTCAGAAAGTAGGTTGTAAAGAAAGTGGCATAGAGGGATGACAGTATTCAAAAGAGATTCACCAAGCTGATTCCTGGAACAAAGCGGGCGACTTATCAAGCACAGATAATAGGTTAGACTTTGATTTGTTAGCATTTAGAAGAATGAAGGGTAATCTTATTGAAACATACAAGATTCAGAGGAGCATTGACAGGGTAGATTTTGAGAAGATTCACTGGTAGGGGTACCTTGAACTCGGTGATATAATTACAAATAAAGGGACAACTAATTTAAAACTGAGACATAAAGAAATTTCTTCACCCATAAGGTAGTGAATGTCTGGAATTCTCTATTCCACAGAATTATGAAGACTAGATCACTTAAAATACTTACAAAGGAGATAGATAGATTGTTGAATTATTGGGCACTTGAGAGCTATGATGAGCTGATACAAAAGAGGAGTTGAGGCCTGGGGGAGATCAGCCATATCTTGTTTGATGGCAGGCTTGATGAGCCAAATGACCTGCTTCTGTTCCTACTTTATGGACATGAGAAATTTGAAGACAAATTATAGGTAAGTTGTCTGAGAGAACGACGGATGGCAGATGGAGAATAATGTGGGAAAATGTGAAGTTGTTCATTTTGGCAGGAAGAATAAAAAGAAAACAGCGTATTACTTAAATGGAGAATGACCACAGAATTCCGAGGTGCAAAGAGATTTAGGTATTCTAGTGCATGAGTCATAAAACGTTTGTATGCAGCTACAGCATATGATCATGAAAGCTAATATGATATAGTCCTTTATTATGAAATAAAGTGAACATAAAAGAAAGGATTTATGCTTCAGTTTTACAGGGCAGTGGTAAGACCACATCTCAAATCCAGTGTGCAGTTTTAATCCCCTCATTTAAAGGATATAAGTACACTGCATGGTTCAGAGGAGGCTTATTAGATTGATACCTGGAAAGAAGGGGTTATTTTGCAAGGATAGATTGGACAGGCTGGCCCTGTTTCCACTGCAGTTTCAAAGGTGAGGGATGACTTGATTGAACTGTGTAAGATCTTGAATAGTCTTGACAAGGTTGATGTGGAAAGGGTGTTTCCTCTTGTGGGTGAGTCCAGAACTAGAGGAGGCAATATTTAAAAACTGGGAGTCGCCCTAGGACAGATGAGGAGAAATGTTTTCTCTTTGAAGGCTGTGCAACTTTGGAACTCTACTTAAGAAGGCAAGATGAGACAGGATCATTAAACAGCTTTAAGAAAGAAGCAGATAGATTCTTATTACGTAGGAGAATTAAAGGGCTATCAAGGAAGATGGAAATGTGGTATTCAAAACACAGCCAGATCAGCCATGATCTTAACGATTGATAGAACAGGTAGAGGAGATGAAGGTCTATGTCTGCTTCTAATTCATATGGTCATACTAAGCTTAACTGAGTCAGAAACCATGGAAGATCCTGACTATAAGGGGTTTTCTGGAGGATTATAGATGCTGGGGAAATGTCCATCATAAGTTTTGATTTTCCAAGCAATTTCCATGGATTCAGTGCATCAGGGATACAACACGGTCCTGGTGAGCAATTCCAGTCTATGCTGCTCCAATGACTATCTGGTCATTGAGATACAAGGGCCAGTATTATTAAAAGTAAAAGCATGTGGTGAATAATGTATTTACTTGAGCTTTAAAAAAACTCAAATTACAACTTACCTCCATATCTGCCTCTTCATCAATATTCTGTATATGCTGATATGCTTTGCTATAAACCTCTAAAGCTTTTGCATGGAACGCCATTTCAATTGTGATGAAGTCCCCAAAAATCTTCTATTTGAAGTAAATAATAAAGAATTTGATGTATTAATTCACCAATAGAAAGTATTGTGTAGTGCCTCAAGACATTATTATATAATGTTAAAACATCCCTGCATTGTAAAATAGCATTCAGTTATACCAGAATCAAGTTGTCTCGTAAAATACTACTATATATTTTACAAAATTAATAGTTAATAATTACACTACAGCTCAAAAGAATTAAACATACATTGCTGACAATGTTAAATTTACATTAAACAAAATTCATACATGAGTTTAATTTCCCAGTTATATGTTATGCAACATGTTGTCCTGAACAACACAATACAGTTATGTTCTCTTATGCCCACGCATGTTTATTCACACGTAGTGAAAACTAAATTATCTTCTCTCCCATAGTCAAGACAAATTGTTGCATGTAAAGATACAGAGGCAAAATTCACTCTCTTGGCACCATGTAAATTACATCAGTTCTCCAGGGACAAACAATGTGGTGGACAGTTAGTTACCTGCATGGTGTTTGCACTGTTCTTCAATATCACCGAGGAAACCTACATGGTAATGGCCCATAGTATGGTCTGAGCTCAGGGAACCAACATAAGTCTGTGTACATCCAGTGAATAAAACTTACCCCAAAAAGTTGGATTTGAAACTGCCCAGCCCTTTTTTTATTTAAGAGCAAGCCCTGTAAAATTTGCACAACTACTTCTTCGACAAAACGCTTCGACAAAGAGGAATCAACAACTCTGCAAATAGCATCTTTATCATTAGCTACTCTGCACTGAAAAATACTCCTTAGCATTCTAAAGTACAACCCAAATGAGCCACTGAAAATCTTCCAATGTAAAGGAGAATTTTTTTTAATCTTATTATTTGATCATTGGGTGAGTGTATCACTGGCTTACCTAGGTCAGAATTTATTGCCCATTCTGAACTGTCCTGGAGAATATGGTTGTGAGCTGCTTTACAACCTTAGTCTTGCGTTAAGGGTAATTTATTAGTTTGGATACAGGATTAGCTAACCAGCAGAAAGCAGAGGGTTGGGATAAATGGGTCTTTTCCTGGTTGGCAAGATGTAGCTAGTGGGGTACCACAGGATTTGAACCTCGGGTCCTAACTATTTACAACTACAGTAATGACTTGGATGTGGGAATAGAAAATACTGTACCCAAATTTGCAGATGACACTAAAATAAGTTGGAAAATGAATTGCAATTAAGAAATAAGAGGGATACAGGCCAAATGCTGTCAAGTGGGACTAAATTAATTTAGGATATCTGGTCGGCATGGACGAGTTGGACTGAAGGGTCTGTTTCCATGTTATACAACTGTATGACTCTATTAAGAAAATTACAAATGGATATGGATAGGTTAGGTTAAAGGGCCAAAATTTGGCAGATGAAATTTAATGTGGTTAAGTGTGATGTTATCGATTTTGGTCAGAGGAATAGAAAGGCAACTTATATAAAGTGAGAGAAACTTCAGAGTGCTTCAGTAGAGAAGGATCTGGATGTCCTCATGCACAAATTGTAGCAACCTAGTGTGCAGGTACAGCAGGTAATAAAGAAAGCAAATAGAATTTTGGCATTTATTACTAAAGGAATACAGTATAAAATTAGGGAAGTGTTACAACTCTATATTAGCCATTAGTGAGATTGTACCTGGAGTAGTTTATACAATTTTGCACCCTTACTTGAGGATGAATACAGCTGCATTGGAGTCAGTTCAGAGGAGGTTCAACAGATTAATTCAGAGATGAGCAGTTTGTTTTATGAAGACAGATTGAACATTTTCGGCTAATACTCTCAGAAGAATGTGAGAAGATCAGACTGAGGTACGTAAGATACTAAAGGAAACTTACAAAGTAGACTTAGAAAAGGATGTTGCCTCGCGATTTAGAACAAAGTCATAGTTTTAGGATAAGGGATAGCAGCTTGAAAACAGATGAGAAATTTCTTCTGAAAAAGAGTTGTGAATCTGTGCAAGTCAGTACTCCAGAGGTGTTTGGCACCAGGACACTGAGTAAATTTAAGCAGTAGACAGACAGATTTTTAATCAGTAATGAATTCAATGATTATGGAGAACAGGTGGGAAAGTGGAGTTAAGGCTGAGTTGAAATTGCTATGATCATATTAAATGGCAGAGCAGGGTCAAGAGGATCAATTGCCTACTCTTGATCCTAGTTCTTATATAAACATGATCGAAAGAGCTAAATATCAAAAGTGAGGTGACAGCATCCAGTTTGACATTAAGGCAGTATTTAACAGAATATGGCATCAACGATTCTGGCAAAACTGCAGTCAATAAGAACTGGGGGTGGGAGAAACTCTCCACTGGTTAGCACAAAGGACGATGATTGCAGTTATTGCAGGTCAGTTTCTCAGCCCCAGGACATCTTGTTACGATGGGAAACGGGCAAATCTTTCTGATAATTAAACTAAAACAAAAGCCCTTATCTGTTACGACAGGGGTAAGAGGTTCCCCTCTAATAAATACCCCTGAAACACCCAGAGAAACTCGTCTTTCCCCTTGTAATCTATTAAAAGAGTGGTTAAAAGAAAATCCCTGATCTCCACTTTACAGTAACTAGGAACAATTTATTTATTTAACCCAACAATGAACAAATTACCAAAATTACTAACAAACTGACAATTCCCCCTTGTACTACTAACTGCTTCCTAACTGGTCTAAATTCTACTGCAATGCTGTTTAAATAAAGACAAGTCCCATTAATATAAACCCAATTAATAAGAAGCAATAAATTATAACTTAATCTCTCCAGACTCTCTTTTGGAATATTCTGTCGTCTCTGGTCTCTTCACAAACACCTTTCTTCTGTTAATTCTGCTGACAGGGATGTTATTCTTTATAATTCTTTCAATGAGGACTTTGAGTTAAAATACGGTGGTACCTTTGATTAATTAGATGGACTTTTTCTGAGAGCAAAATGGTGCTAACTCTGGTGGGTGGTGGATGACTCTCTCTTTTAGATGTTGGCTCTCTCTGATTTTCTAAATGCTGTCATCTTATATACCCGTAATGACATAAACAAATTCTTATAATATGATTGGTTTCAGGTTGTCAACATCATCAGATTTAAATTCAACTGGCTTTCTGTATCTAGGTGCTTCGTTTAAATTAATTAGCCAAATTCAAACTTGTTGTCTTGGAAAACATGCTGCTTGGCTGTTCTATACAAAATGTTTCTATTCGGGCACTCTCTGTGCACCTGCATTTATAAACTTCCAAGCACAAGCTCTTAAAGGGACCATGGCACTCTTTTCCCCACAATCGTTTTTACAAACAAATTCGAACTTCCTGCCTTCCAATTCATGAATATGCACTCAACTTCGTAACAATCTCTGCAGAAGTTCCTCAGTCCTAGGCCCAAATATCTTCAGATGCTTTATGAATCACCATCCTTCCATCATAAGATCAGAAGTGAGGATGTTAATTGATGATTGCACATTAATGAGCTATAGTAGGCGTTAGCATGTAGGGACATCAAAAGTCCTGTTAGGAAGGGAGTTCCAGGATACTGACAACAATAATAGTTCCTAATTAGGATGGTGCATGCATGAACAGGAACTTGGAGATGGTGGTGTTCCCATGCACCTGATATTCTTATAGCTGCACTAATCCAGGCAAGGGTGAGTATTCCATCACACTCCTGACTGGTGCCCTATAAAGGCTGGATAGGCATTGGGGAAACAGGTGAGGTATTCACCACAGAATTCACAGCCTCTGACCTGCTGTTGTTTTCACAGCATTTATATTAGTTCAGTTTCTGGTCAATGGTAACCCATAGGATGTCAATAGCGATAGGATCACTTGGCCCGGCAGTCTGAAAGCTTTTGGTTAAAAGACTAAAGTGCAAGTACCTTTTAAAATAAAGCTTCTTTTATCCTTTATTGTTATGCTGAACGTTTG